TATTTTTAATTTTTTTAACCAGCCGTGTTACAGGCACTGTTCGGAAAAAAGCATTTACGGCACGTATTTGTGCATGTTACTTACTTAATTAAAAGTTAAAACAAATCTCTCTGTAAATATCTCATGTTACAACGTGGACACCTGCAGCTTATAAACAAGTGCAGGCCTATGTATGTACAAAATTTGTTTTCATTTTAAAGTTAGTGGGTGTGGCTTCAGGTGTCTCAATAGTCTTAAAATTACGGTACTTTTGAATGTGATGTCATATCAGTATGACTTGAGTAGCCACAACTTTAAAGCTACCTGCCCAACATCGCGTAGGTCCTCCTTGTCCTGCTAAAAGATCCATTTAGAGATGAACTTCTGTAGGTCCTGTGCTATCGTGCACCAAGACATTCACAGCTGATAATTTAAGTCCTGGAAGTTGCGTGGTGGGTCCTCCAAGGAGTGGAAATTTACTCATCGTCCTAATCCGATGGTTTTATGTAGTGGGGTGTTTTATTGACATTCTGGCATACAGTGGGCTTACAGACACAGAGATTGGGTTTGTGAAGGGAGGACGCATTTTATACAGAAATGAGAAGAAGACACTGTATGTATAAATTGTGATCAAAAGGTGGGATGTTGATTTGTATGTGGGTCTGGGAGCAGATTTTATGGGGAAAAGGGTGACAGGTATCAATGACACTGAGATGACTGACAAAGGGTGATGAGATCGCTTCGTACACAGTGTGTAGGACTTGGGTGAATGACTGAGTTGTTTGAATGAAGAAGGACAAGAAAAAGCGCACCTACCAGAGCTGCTGTTTTCTACATTAACAACAAAAATGGGCATTACACAGCTGCTATTTACACTGCCTGCATCTCTTTCTGCTTTTCAGGGTAAAACTCTGACAACAATCTCTCTGATCCTCACCAACTTTCACAAAGGAAAGCCGCTGCCTGTCGAGAAAAGTGTAAGTAGTTGTGTAGTATTGTTTTTAATCAATATACTGTATCTTGTGTTCAAACGTTACAAAGGGTTTGTTTATATGTGTGCAGGAGAAGCAATTTTCACCTACGAAGGCTAAAGCTAAACCACAGATGGCCTCTAAACTGCAAGGTACTTTGAATAAATTTACTGCTGCAGATTTTTATTTTCTACCCTACACTTGCTTCCTTTATTTCTCTTTATGAGCGTGAAAAAACAAAAACCGGTAAGAACAGTATTGCCAGGAGAGATAATGTGATGTCTTTGTTTTAGGGAGCAGCAAAGCAGGAATGGATGATACTGCAGGTGGCTCTCAATGCTCAGAGCGGTAAGTGTAAATGTGCTTTTGCATGCTTGCTTTGCTGTTTGTGTTTTAGCTCAAAGACCCAGTTTATTCACATGGATTGTTTATGTTTCCTATGTGGGTCAGTACCCAGGTGGAGGTAACCAGCGCTGATACACCAGATGTAGTGGACGTAGCAGATGATCCAGGGAAAAGTGAGAACAAATCCTGATGTATCTTTTAATGTCTGTTCATACTTTTGTGAGGGTTTTTGTATTCTTCCATCAAGCTCGCATACATTTTTACCTGACTTCCTTACTTACAGGTACCAGCAAAGGAAAGAAGAAACCCACCAAGCGAAAGCCCAGTAAAGGTGCAAGTCCAGTAAACTTTGTATTTATGCACTCTAATGTAAACAAATGAAAATATTGGCATGTTTGAGGCATTAGGTGACATAGTTTGGCAGATATAAATTAATTTATGTATCATATAACTAGGGCTGCAGGGTGGCGCAGTTGGTAGCACTGTTGCCTCGCAGCAAGAAGGTCGCCGGTTCGCGTCCCGGTGGGGGCACCGGAATCTTTCTGCGTGGAGTTTGCATGTTCTCCCCTGGGTTCTCTCCGGGTTCTCCGGCTTCCACAATCCAAATACATGTTGAGGTTAATTGGTGACTCTAAATTGTCCGTAGGTGTGAATGTGAGTGTGCTTGGTTGTCTGTCTCTAAGTGTAGCCCTGTGATAGACTGGTTACCTGTCCAGGGTGTCCCCTGCCTTCGCCCTAAGTCGGCTGGGATAGACTCCAGCCCCCCATGACCCTAGTGAGGATTAAGCGGTGTATAGATAATGGATGGATAATATAACTAAATAGTGTTGACATTTGGCTTATATACATACATACACCTATGAACCAATCTATCTCTGTGTTCTGTGTGCAGAGGCTTCAGTATTGTTTGAGGATCTGGATTTTGCTGCAGCGCTGACTGGCTCAACATCAGATACAGGCTCAAAGAAGAAGAAAACTGCCAATGTCACACAGCGTGAGTGTAACAGTATATTTGTACCTGCTTTTGCTTCAATTTAGTAAAAGAAAAGTTGGACTATGTGCCAATACAGGAGATGTATGTGGACCTTTTTATATGTGCAGGTATGGATTCATCCGTCACTGAAAACACAGATGACCTCTCAGCCAGAACAACTCTCATCATCTGTCCACTCTCTGTGCTCAGCAACTGGCTGGTAGGAGCGTCACACAGATCATTTATTTATGCATAATCTTGGTGGTTAAAGCTAGATTTTAGTTTTTGTAAACTTTTTCCATCCCTGAAGTCAGCATGTATCATATTTTTCTTCTTCTGTCTTTTGTGTGTTTGCATACAGGACCAGTTTGAGCAGCATGTGCATCCTAACGTCAAGCTAAATGTGTATCTGTACTATGGTTCAGAACGCAACAGGAGCAAGCAGTTTCTGTCCTCTCAGGATGTGGTGATCACCACGTACAATGTTCTTTCTTCTGACTTTGGGGTGAGTGGAGAAGGATGCATTTATACCAGCGACTGCAAGGCAACAAACTGGTCTGTGTGCATAGATTTGTTTTGATAAGTACAGTCATCCAGTTACAAATGAATGACTGTCCTGAAACTGGATGGTACGTTTCAGATAAGAGATGTGCAGTTCATATGCGGTAACAACTTACTTTTAATTTAATAGCAACTATAATGTCCTGTAATGTGTCCCTTTCAGAATAAAAGTCCTCTACATGGGATCAGCTGGCTGAGGGTCGTGCTGGATGAAGGACACATCATAAGAAACCCAAATGCACAGATGAGTAAGGCTGTGCTCGGCCTGAAAGCTCAGAGGCGCTGGATTCTGTCAGGTATTGCACATTAATACATGTACACACACACACAGTCCAACAACAACACCAATTGAGATGTATGTTCTGTGATTAAAATGCATGATGTAACATATAGCTGAATGGAAACAGGTTTACAAGGCTTGACAAGTTTTAAAACTTTTTCAAACCAGTAAGGAGAAATTTTACAGTTTGCCTTCAGCATCAAGAACAGAGAATATCAATGCATTAAGCTACACAATTCCATTACATCTGTCACTTGAAGATACATTTGATTGTAGTTACATAACCAATTCTAAGTCCAAACTCTGTTGCTGAAGCTCTACCTTCATTCATTTGGAAAGGCATTAGACACATCCTCTGTTTT